AGCGATATCTCAAAAATTAAGGGACTTGTTCGCGTATATATGTACAGACAGACGGACATACGGACATGGCTAAACCAACACAGCTTGTCTCGTTGACATACATATATATTATAAGGTCTCCGACGTTTCTTTCGTGGCAAGCTCAATACTTGTATAACCTGTTCAGGGTATATAAAACGCGTGTACAATCAGCAAATTGAAGTTTCAAGCTATTTAATGTGTCTAAATAAATGCTTAACTACAAAAATTAATTTCTATTCGGTAGTGACTTAAAATTTTTAAAGCCTTACGCTTAAGAAAAGCTTTTAATGAAGCACAATTAATCAAAAGAACTATGAGCGAACACTTCTTCCGCTTTTTTGCGGCGATAAATACAACAATGCTCGGCAGCAAGTATTCATAATTAACAATCAGCAACTTTAATTTGGCATTCAAAATTGTATATAATAGATTTTGTTCGACTTTTGGCTAAACATCTGTTCAATGTATGCACGAAAGCCACATTTAACACACAAAAATACAATTTTATTGAACAAAATTTTAAAAACGACGCAACTCAAATATATTAAGTATTTACAAAACTCAAAACCTTGTATAAAAATATAATTTCGTGCTTTTGAAGGCAACTTTCGAACGATTTTGAACATTTCGAAACAGAGTTGCCACATATTGAAAGCTAAAATTATAAAATTGCTAAATGCTAAATCTTATCTTAATATGTTTGTTGATGCCTGAATTAAAATTGCATGTTTAAATTTCTAACGGCTTTTGATTTAGTAAATATTTGCGACGATCTAATAACAAGAGGACTATAATATTCGTTTGTATGAGAGTTCGCGTTTAGAAAAAAATGCATATGATTTTTAGTTAGACATAACCTTCATAAAAAACACGTGCTTGAATTACACAGCTGGCGCATAAGGGCTTTGACTAGCAAATGGATAAAAAAAGAGCTTAGTATTAATGAAACAAAAGTTTTGAAAAAAAAAATTTTGTTAATTAAAAAAATGGCGCGAAAATTAAAATTCGCGGTCTGGCAACATTAATCAATTAGGAATTAAACACAACGTTTCTCCATTTGAAAAGAATGGACCAATAATTCTGCGCTCGACTGTTCCAACGGCAAAATCTACAAATTCACCGACGGATCAAAGGTTGAAATAGAAACAGAATCGGGCTTCTCCATACGTCCATACGCATAAGGTAATTTCAAACTAAATATTCCAGCGTCTCATTATCCACAGCGCATGCTCTGCATACCGCCGAATCCACTTTTCCGATTTCCTGAAGGTGATAATTACAGTTAATTATATAAAAATATATGCATAAATGTTTGCTAACTTATTGCTGTAAAAATAGAAAAGCAAACTAAAATTTATAACGACTTAGCATATTTTCAAAGTTGCCAAAATCTTCGTTTGCATGTTGCTAATTATTCAAACCATGCAATACATTAGCAGTCAAAGTGTGCCAACTTCAAAGTCACGGCGGAACTATGCCAAACAAAAATTCGCAGACATATGCACGCATGCATACAGAAGTATGTACGTATGTTTGTATGTATATATATTAATATTAAAGGAACAGCGTCAATAATAAAACTTCGATTTAAATACTTTTTATCGAACATGCGTCATTCATTGTTCACTAATGCGTTATTTATGTAGTGATATGTTATACATATTGTAGTATTATATACTTAATTTAACTATAAGTTGAAGTTAGTTATGTTTGCGTTTTATGGCAAACAGAAAAAAATTAAATAAAAAACGAAAAGCGAACAATTAATAGTTGTTGTGCACCATAGGCATTTTAATTGAGCTGTTGTAGGCACTATCATCTTGATATTGACCTTAATTTAACGATTAAATTCATCACCCAATATTGTATTTATATGTATTACCAGGTTTATATTTTAAAAGTATGCTATTTGAAATTAAAACTAACTATATAAATTCGTAAGCGTTTATTGTCTGTAGCGTAAAAAATCTAAGTCAAGTTTCCGAAAAATCAATTTTTGCTGTCAATGAAAGTTGTAATTGACCTACTTTTTTTAAACAATAATATTCACTTTCTAAACATATAACAATCACGCTATCAAAATTCATTCATTTACCCAAAAAACGCATGGAAAGTTCTTATTATATTTATCTTAACTGAGACAATGGCAATTCACACATCATGCAGTCATTGTCAGTGCAATTATAGCCGACGAACTTTCTTCACTTCGACATTACTGCAAGCGAGTGCATTTGTTCTGGAAGCTTTAAGTCTGAATATGTCATTTAATTGGGTTTGGCAACACGGAAAGTGTGACTAATGCATTAGTAAAGTTATGAAGCAAGCTGGATTAGAGAAAAGCTTCGAAATATTGTTGCTTTTATTGCTATGAATGATTGTTGGCATGAAGAAAATACTACCACCTTTGGAATCGGTAAAATGCCATATGTTCTAATATTTGTCTTTGGTAAGAAAAGAGTGTCCCAATAAAAAATTACCGAATAATCATATATATTGTACATACCATATGCGGTGTGTATTCAAAGGAAAAGTTGAATTTTGAATTATTTTCAAAAGTACTATTTATTCATTAATAACTATTTTGTCGCATTCAAAGTAGTCACCCACTTATGCCAACGCTTTTTCCAATGCCCGAAGCACTTCTGAAACGCGCTTTTTGGTATGGCCATCAGCTCTTTCTTCGATTCTGACTGACACTATTGTATGATACACATATGATAAAAATCGTTAACAGCTCACCCAATTTTGAGCCAAGGTAGCCTATATGATCACACGAATGATGCTCAACTACTTACGTACAGACCCTGCAGGAAATTCAATATATTATTCTACAATGAACTCTTTACTAACCGCTACAATTTTTTCATCAACACAATGTTCTACAAATCCTTAAGCTGTAATAAGTTTACATATAAATGTCTCTAAAACTTTGGGAAGTGTATATTTCACTGGTATCAGGTAGAGAGATTAATCTCTTGTCTCGAAGCCTCTCACTGTACGTAATTAGACCCTGAACAGGGTATATTAAGTTTGCCACGCTGTTTTTAACACAAAAAAGTAAACGTCAGAAACCCTATAAAGTGTCTATATAAATGATCAGCGTGACGAGCTGAGTTGATTTAGCCATGTCCGTCCATCAATGCGTTCGTCTGTATATATATTGAAACTAGTCTCGCAGTTTTTGAGGTAACGATCAGAAAACACACGTCCGTTTCTTCCTTAAATCATTTCAACGGCCGATATCGGACCACTATATACACGGCAGCTAACCGTACAAAATGAACGATCGAAATAAAGTGCTCGTATGGAAAACTTTTTCATTTGTCGAATTATCTACACGAAATTTTGTATGAGTTATTGCCTTAGGCACTGAATCAATTTCCAAAAAAATTGTTCAGATCGAATCATTATAGCATACAAACTGTCTTCTTACTTCTTCTTGACTTCTTAAAGTTTTTGTAAGAAATTTTTGTATTTGTGATGGGTATTACAGCTTATTTTTATCACTGTCAAACAATTTTTTTTACAGGTGAGCAGTACTCAATGTTAGCGATTAGAGAAATGTCGAATGTAAGATGACAGTTGTAAGCACAACCATTTATGGTTATATGGCGGAGTTCTGTTTGAATCTAAAGTAAATTTTCTAAAATCGTAATTTTGTATTAACTTATTAAAGGCAGCTTTAACAGTTAGCTGTTATGGAGTCGAAGAATTTCTTACAGGGCATGTATTTTCATGCCTACAAATACAAAATGTATAAGAGCACAATATATCATTTAAATATGATTACATAAATTAATAATAATTATCACGTGTACAGTGTTGGGTAAAATACGTTATATATTTTGTAGCCTAAATTAATTCCATGCAGAATTGTAGTATACTGAGTTTTGTTTAAATTAAGGCAGCTAATAAAATCGGTGAATATATTCATTGACATTAAAAGAAGCTCGGTAATCTGTGAGTAAGACTTAGTGGTTCAAAAAAAAAAAAAAACAGTGGCCATAAAACAAATAAGGTCCCATGGATAACATCATAGTCGGAGATTTCTGATGACATACAGAAATTTTTGAGTACTTACTTCACTAACCAGTACAACAATCCAAATAACAAATAATGCTAACCAATCTCCAAAGCTTCTTCTATAAGATTACGATATTAAAATATGATTTGAAAATAAATCAACTCGGTTTTTCATCTCTCCCAAATTCGAACATACCATCTCATCAAAGTTGATCCGGAATAGAAGGATTATGACAGTCAAACCACAATACGTATGCCCCATTGACATATCGAATAGTGATACTAGTTTAAAGATAACTATATTAATGCTATTTATTTACTCAACACTGTGATTGTACATTTCTACATAATTGACTTGATAATTAGATAAAAATAACAAACACAACTGATAAACTCTGTAAACTAGTGCGACATAATGATCAATGGACTGTGGCGAAGTGCCGAATGAACGAGCAAAAAATGAAGAACTGCAGAGAAAATAAAAACAATAATTTAAGAGAAATTGAAATGCAAACACGCAACTATGTAAGCGAGTGGTTGTAAAGTGTAATTTTGTTGTTTCCAAAATACTGGTTTTTACGCCAAAACTGCTGCCATGATAAGCAATGCCGAAACCATAGGTGACGCAGTGAGAGTGAGCGCGCGGGGTGAGCGGAAATAAATCACAATGTAAACTGTCGCCAAGCAACAAGTGAGCAATAGCCGGCGGCACGGCATATATGCGTGTCCAGCAAGGTGGACTGTTGGCCGGTAGTGTTGATCTACAAGTGTTGGCAGCGGCTGGAGGAGCTAGCACGCTGGCAGCCGAAAGAGAAAGAGGTGTTGAAAAGAAATTAAAACTGAGTGACTTTGTTGTAATTGCTGCGCTTGTCAGCGCGTAGCTGGTTTGCGGCGACTACTGTGATTGTGGCTTGTTTCGGCTTTATTGACTTTTTTTCTTTCGCGCACGATCGTTAAGAGGTGCTACCGTTTTGTGCGTGAGCGCTGAACTCAGTTGGCTTTTGGCCATTAGCACGAACGGTAGTGAACGCGTACAAATTGAATATTCACAAACACAGCACAGCTCGACTTGACTCTATGTTTAGACAACGTTTCGAACATTGGCTTGCAAATTAAACTGTGTGCAGGAAAGTGAAGCGCGGAAGTGCCTTCAACGATCTTATTGAAGCTTGGCGTCTTGCGGCAGTCGCTGTCTATGCACATCGCCCAACAGAATTCAGTTTTAGCTGTCGCTCATTTGCAAGCGTGCACCACATCTCGAGGCACTTTTAATTAACAACGTTTCGCAGACTGATTTGCGCATGCGCAGCGCAGAAAAGCCGTCAATCACTGGCCAAAACAACGTTCGCTTATCGAAAGCGAAAGTTTACTCGCTTCAACAAGTGTGCGCTGGTCACTCTTATTTTTTTTTATCTCACTTGTGTATTTTTTTTTTTGTGAAATTTGTTTGCAATTAAATTACCTTGAACTGTGTTTATTGCCAAAATAGCTTCGTACACGCCCGTTTACGAAATTGATTCACAAGTTGTGCGGTAAAAAACTAAAACAAAACAAAGTTTACACTAAAAGCGTAAAAGTGAAATTTACAGTTAATCGTAAAACGAACAAATATTCAAAAATTAACAGTAAAACTGTGTTTCATATATTTGAACGCCAAAATGCCATCGACAGCACATCCTCGCTTCGTCTTCTATCTGCTCTGCGCCGCCTCGCTGCTCGCCGTGGCACGCTCCGATCCGACCGGCAGTAAGACAAATTCATACCTTATGTCTTATTTCTATTATTTACTAATGAATTTCGTCAATCCTTATGCGATGCCGCTATTTTATCGCTTTGTAAATATTTATCTAACCTAAGACTCGAACTAACTTTCGATTTTATTGGTTAACCGTTATTTTATTAGTTTTTTAATTGCGTTATAAAGTGTTGGGTTCTTGTTTGCTAACTGTAATTTACATTTATGCGACACTTACTGTATATTTTTATAACTGTAAAGCTGTGTACAATGATTTTTTGTATTTATGTATGTATATAATATAACTTTTTATTATATTTTTTAAACTAGTAAATAATAAATTTTTAATTTTTGTGGATTTTTAAAATTTTTTTAATTTTTTTTTTTAATTTTTTTTTTTTAATTTTTGATTTATATAGTTTTCTATGTAAGATCTCTAAAAGTACTTAATAATGTACTAATATGTTGAACTATTTAAAACACAACTTTATTGTTATTTTGTTATATATTTCAGTAGAAATATATATTTTTTATATAATGTATAGGTTTTTGTGTGATAAATTTATTAATGTTTTAGGTTTAAGCTATTTTTTGCGTTATATGTTATTTAACCTTTTTTAAAGGTATAGGGGTCAAGATAATTTGTGTCAGTCATATTATTTTGTATTGTTTTTTTTTAAATTTTTAATTTATAGTTTGGTTCTTAATTTTTATTCAAATAAGTTTCTGTTTTGTATTCTTTAAATTTTAAATTTATAATTTTTATTTAATTAAGTTTTCTATTTGTATTTTTTTTTTAATTTCTAATTTATAATTTTGTTTTAATTAAGTTTTTAATTTGTATTTTTAATAAATATGTATTCTCAAATTTTTAATTTTTTATTTTAATTAATTAAGCTTTATATTAACTATTAATTTATAATTTTAATTTTTGTTTATTTAAGTTTTTAATTTGTACTTTTTTTATTTTAATTTTTATTTTTATTTAACCAGGTTTTTTATTTGTTCTTTTTTATTTTTAGTTTATAATTTTACTTTTAATTTTTAATGAATTAAGTTTTTTAATTTTTTTTTTAATTTTAATTTTTAATTTTTTTTAGATAATGTTTTTAATTTGTAAATTTTTAATATCTAATTTATACTTTTAATTGTAATTTTTATTTAATTAATTTTTTATTTTCTTCTTTTTTAATTTATAATTTTAATATGTATATTTTTTTAAATTTTAATTTATAATTTAAACTTAAATTTTTATTTAATTATGTTTTTATATTATACTTTTTTCATTTTATTTTTTATTTAATTAAGATTTTTATTTGTACTTTTTTTTTAATTTTAACTTTGAATTAATTAAGTTTCTAATTTTTAAATTTTTTTAGTTTATAATTTTGATTTTAATATTTGTTTAATTAAGGTTTTAATTTGTATTTTTTAAATTTTTAATTTTTAATTTATAATGTTTACTTAATTAAGCTTTGAATTTGTATTATTTTTAATCATTAATTAATAAATTTGATTTTAAATTTTATTTAATTAAGTTTTTATTTTGTACTTTTCTCATTTTAATTTTATTTATTAATATTAAGATTTTAGTTTGTTGTTTTTTAGTCTTTAATTTATACTTTTTGTTTTAATTTATATTTCATAAAGTTTTTAATTTGTATTCTCTCAATTTTTAATTTATAATTTATAATTTTTTATGTATCTCTTTACTTGTTGTATAGTCACTGTAAATATTTATTTTATCTCTGTGTTTCTTTTTACAATTTTAGTAAATAAAAATTTATGTTTGTAATTTTTAAAAATTTGGTTATACTTTTTTTATCGAAATATTTTATAGAAAAGGTACATATCTATAATAATAATAAAATATAATTTACTAACCGAGAGAGCTGTTTATCAAAAATCTCTGCTGGGAACGAGTTATTTATTGGGAGATGGTTGAAAAAGTTAGTAGCCACGAACCCTTGTAACTTCAAACAACTATTAACACGAATATGGTCACTTATTCTAAAACCGATTTTTCTGGAGCTTACAACATAAGTTTGAGTGTATTGCAATACGACAAATGGTTCAGAAAGAGAGTATTAAAAGCACTATCCTAACAAAAATATCCGTAACTTCCCGAACAATAACTAAAACCCGAAGTATAATCGAAAATAACTCGCTGCTGGCGTTTTCAGCAACTTACCACAGAATTTGCGTCAATCAATTTTTAGAAAGCATGCAACACGCAAAAGTGCTTTCGCCACTTGAATACTCATATGCATATAGACTTATGTCTATTGGTTTATACTATATGTGTGGTAAGTGTTTATGAACCCGTTTCAAAGCGCTCATTAGAATGCTCATTTGCGAACTTGCAGATTTTATACACTGTAAATATGTAATTGAACACGTTTATCAACTTGAATTGTGGCTTTGATCTCCATACACTACACTTGTTGTTACACCACACGCAAGAACACACATGCATATATCATACACACTTGGTACAAGGCGATTAGCAATTCTAAGTATAATAGACAGTTAATGAGGAACATAAAGCAAGCATAAAACAAGCGAGAAGTGTCTTTGCGGTCACAAAGTTTTCCAAAGAAAGTGAGTTCAAGCCGAAAGTTACATATATGTATACATATGTATATAGATGCGAACAAAATGTATGTGTATACTATAATGACTTTGTATAACGCTTAATGCATAAGAGATATGACGATAATGTAGCACCCTTTAGTTTGACATTCTAATAATTTATGCCTTAAGGACATTATTATTTTTTTCGATAAGGCGATCACTGACTCTTTGTTGGTTTTATTCTAAGGCTTCTCTCTAGCCAAAAGCAGCGGTAGAAAATTACGCCAGAACACATTTGGAGACTGACTATATTATATGTATATAACAAATATTCAAAAAGAAAGCTTTGAAGCATTTACTCTTTCATTTTAGCAGTTCTATAAAGCTATATTAGAACATTCCAACATTTTCTCGCTTATCTCTAAGCCCCATGTTATTTGAGCACATCTTGTTTATTTAATGTTTCTTGGTGCTCTTTGGAACATTAGAGATGAAAAACAAGTCTATCTGAACATTCTCTAGTCGATATATAACTTTTGAGCTTGCTGAGGTTATGGCAAAACTTGAATGAACTTTTATTAAAAATCCTTTGGCACCACAAAAACGATGGATCTTACAAAGAGTTTGGCAGGCTTTCCAATCAATGACTTCTTCTAAAATTCCACATAAGATATAAGAATTTTTGAAGATCCGCTGGGAAAACTCTTTGCCACAAAAGTTATTGCGACTGAGAGATAGCGAGAAAAGAGACGTTTCGTCTATATCACAGCTTACAAAACAATGTTAAGCTGACAGAGGAATAATATTGTAGAAATCAGCACAGGCACTCAGGAATCGGATAAGATATAATCCAGTAAACCAGTCTATAGATAAAACAAAGAGAATGATAAAACGTTACATATTATTGTGAATGTCTAGTCTGCAGCTCTGATTGAAACGGACGCCTTCCAAGGTTCCTGGTGTGTCAATCTAAACGAAATGAGGTAGCTAGTGTGGAGAAACTCAATTTTTTTTCGAATTTCATAAGTTGTTCAACAGTGTTTAGTTGGAACTAAAGATATACTGCCCAAATTAAAAAAAAATATATATTTTGGGCTTCGAAATTTTTTCTACCCAGTACTCAGTGGCTAGGATTTTTTCTGTATATATTATTGGTAGTCTGGAACTGTGATTACAACTCAACCTTCTCTGGTATTTAACTTACAATTGTATACAATATTAAAAAAATAAAACTTCTACAATATTTACGAAGAAAGTCATACAACACAATCATAAACCTTTAGCTCGCAATCAGCGTCGCTATGAAGACTCCGAAGAAGATATCGCCTATGAAGCAGCGAAGCAATTGGGCCAATTAAACTATCGTCTCAACCAGCTGGCCTTCGAAGAGCAATCCCGGCAAATATCGCTACCAAATATCACGATTAATAATCTAGTAAGTCGCATACCGTGCACCTGCGACAAGGGTATATGCAAATGCTGTGCTGGTGAGTTGAAAATATTGGTAATTTATAACGCAAGATTTATTTCAAATATCGTCTCATAGGTTTCCTCTCCGTGATCGGTTTAAATAGTTGCACCGAGGTGGTCTATCGGCCAGACGAATTCTCTTTCGAGTTACGCATGCGCGTCAACAATAATGTTTGGTTCAAACGTAAAGTCTCCGGTCAGAACCCGCCACCATTTTGCTTCCGGCCGCCACGTTTCAACTTTGCGAGGGCTTGCATACAGTTCCACGATATCTGGTTTGTGGGACGTAACATGCATGTCTGCATGTATTTGTCGGGCTCATTTCAAGGCTACGAACTATTTGAGCGGTGAGTATGAATGTTGCATAATATTTTGAAATAAGGTTAGATTTTTTCCTTTTATTTAGCAACTTCGATTGTCTACTCTTCGGCGATAAGGGCGTGAAAATTGTTAAACCCGAGAACGGTTACCCAGTCCGTCCCACCGACGTTGACATCGATGATGGTGATGATGAAATCGAGGAATATGATGAGAACGTGGTGCGCAGAAGACGACACAGTCGTCTAAGTAAAGTTATGCGCTCGAGCGATCAGGCCTAATCTATAGACATTCTATATGCCATTCTTCATGACTGATAAACTTATCTACAATTATCTTTTATTTTATATCTAAAATAGGTAGTATTACATCTAAATTATTTTATACCACAACACCACAGAAAAAAATCCATGTTTTTTTCAATGTTTTCACCTATTAAGGTTCTACAAAAGCGAAAGATTTAAACCGAGTCCAAAACAGCTTATGTGGATTATTGTATTCTTTGTATATTTAAAGGTATGCTTTCAACGAACTGCTGTAACTTAATCACAGATCTTCAAGCCATCAAAGTCCTACATCAAATATATAAAGGACAACACCAACAAGTTACTACAGCGTTTATAGAATTTGGAACCGCCCTTAACGATTTCTGAACATCATTCGGGCCGTCCGTTTTAAGACATATAAAATGGCATAACGATAAAAACCCATCGTTTTAAGTGAAGTTAGATTGCCGAGAAAATAACCTGGTTGTATAATATAATATATGAGCCTATTCTGTCAACAGAACCAGAACAGAACTTGACAGACCAAATTTCGGGCTCAGCCAGACATATGACGCCATTCATGGAAAAGCAATCAGGGGTGATCCTTAGACTCTTGTTCCGTGAGTGGCTTTCTGGACTTCCAAATCGTTGGATAAAATACGCGTTAATTCTGAAAACAGAACCTGAACAGAATTTGGCAGACCAATGTTCAGCCACGATAATGTACAGCGAAACACTCAGCAAGGCAATCTCAGGTGTTGCTTAGACTCTCCCACCGCAAATGTCGTTCTGGGAGTCCAATCACCATCTATGGCAGGATAAAAAGTGAGAGATAGATTAGATAATACAGTAGTAACCCTAAAGGTATGCTATGTTTATATTAAATTTAAAGTTTTTTTGGAGACAACGATAAGTGTAAGTGTAGGTATCAAGAAATATATTTTTAGAAAATAGTGGCAGTTTCCTACTCGATTTAATCAAAGTCTTTAAACAATTCGTTTGTTTGTGCGCAGTATTTTGTAGAAGTGACTAAAATTTTAGCAATTTCTAATACATAATTGGTTAAAAATGTTGAGATCGTATAGAAAAAGCTTACAGTTTGAATAGCAATGTGATTTTAAAGCAAAATATTGCGAATTTTTAAATTATTATTGCTATACACTGAACACCCAGAAGGAAACGTCAAAGACTCTATAAAGCTTGACGAGCTGAGTAGATTTAGCCAAGTCCATCTGTATATACGCCAAATAGACCCTCAGTGTTTTAGTTATCGATCTGAAATTTTGCACACGTTCTTTTCTCTTTATGAAGATACTGATTTTTTGGAATCGCCGATATCGCACTGCTATAGCATATAGCTCTCATATAAAGTTATCGATAAAAATCAAGTCCGTGTATGGAAAACTTTTTTATTTGAAAAGATATCCTCACGAAATTTGGCATAGATTATTGTTCAAGAAATTACTACAATCTCGGAACATATTGTTCAGATCAGATCACTATAACATATAGCTCACATACAAACTGACCGTTAAAAATCAAGTTATGGATATTTTTATACACTTTTATGCTGTAAGAAAGGACTCTGTGTTGGGTATTATAACTATAGTAATAGGTGTTGCCGAAGTTAACGTTTTTTCCTGTTTTAATGTGGTGTTGTGTGTAAGCCTTGGTCGAACTGAAGCAACTTTTTTGCAGCTTTAAACTTTATTAATATTCTTAAACTATATTTAATTTAATTTATTAATATATTATTTATATAATATATGCTGTTTTATGCACATAAGAGTCATAAACTGATCATACCATATCTTAAATGCTTTCCATGTACTTCCTTAAACTTAGTCTAGTAATAAGCTCGTATAACTTGCAACATTTGCACTTCAAAGTGTTAAGAGTGTTCAAGCATATAAATAAGAAATAAAATTCTTGAGTATAAGTAATCACCAAACCACTAAGAAGTCAATAAACATTCATCTCTCTCATATACGTGAGCACTCAGTAAAGAGATTATGCAACAAAAGCTAAAAAAACTCACAAAAGCGCAACACCGCCTGTTGCATGCGCCACATACAACGAGGTAAATGTCTAAAAATGCGATTGCTCCTTTTTACACTGCCATTGAAGTGTGAAATTTTTCAGTGCAAAAGTGGCAAAACAAAGCAAAAATAATGACGTAGAAAATTTTAAATCAAAAAATCAAGCACATAAGTGCTGCCACTCGAGCGTAAATAATAAATATGCACTTGCATACAATGCTCATGTTGCAGCAAGGATACGTGCAACATATACGATTCATCGTTTCAATGAATGCCAAGCCTAGACGGCAGTCGCCCTTGCCAACAGCGGCAACTCGGCTGCCTGACCTTGCACACTCGGAAGGTCCTTAATGTGTGGCATGCAATTTCCACTGCAATGCTTGCAACACATCACCCGGCCGCAACAAGGATGCCAGTATGTATGTGGCGCATATTCATGCAGTACTCATGCACTTCTTCGCACTTCATTTCCACACAGCTGTGCACCGTTACTGGCGCATCCTGCCACGCCACGCCACGCCAACACATTGAAGTGCAAATTAGAGCACACAAAGCGTTGCAAAAGTGAATGTGTGCCGTGTGGCACGCTGCAATGCATATGCAAATGCAAAAAAAATACATAGCAACAACAAAACAACAATCACCACAACAAAACCAAAATTTGTTGGCATTTGCAAAGGATGCATGCAACGCGGATGCAGTCTTCTTTAGTCCTTGCTTACAAAGCGGCATGTTAGCAGTATGTGCAGTACCAGCAATACACTTGCAGCATACCATACATGCATGTATGTATGTGCGTGTGTGTGTGCGCCTTTTTAAGGCTTCTTCTTCGCCCATTTGTTGTCATTATTGTCGTGTAATAAAGGACTATTAGGGATAAAAGCTGTCGTCCTGCAGCTGCTCACTACAGGCCTTAACTCTTCAATTGCACTTATGCGGTGAATATTTTCACACTTAAGCATCGTGCCGAGCTGTATGGGATTCTAAGCGTTTATTATAAGCTAACGGTATAATGTTAAAGGATAATAAGCACTTCTTTTGTGGCAACATATGTTTTTCGCGCTTCACCTGCGGATACACATATAAACATATTCTTATATTATATTTAGAACAAAGCTCATTAAACTCCTCTACTGCAGGGTTAATATAAGGGCAGCAGAAACTTGACGGTCGACATGTAATTTTGGTTAGTGGTAAGTACTGTCTCTTCGCAAGACTTGAATGCGCTACCATTTCCCAACCAACAATAAAACAATTTCTTTTAACGCTAATTACCTCTTGACGCAAAACTGGTAAATTCTTGATCTGTCGCAAGAAGAGATGCTCGGATAAATGACTAGCTCGAATATCACCTAAACATCACAAATTATCAAAGAAAATATAGCCTACGGATATCCGCCGCCGGTATCTTATTGGTAAAAACTAGCGAACTCCGGAAACTCCTATCTAAGCAGATCTTCAAGAGTCAAATCGGAATTTCTTTCTACGGGTCAGCTCTGATGCTTTCTTATTGGTAAACACTTGCGACCTTCAGAAACTGCACTATATCTACGTAGACCTTGCAGAGTCTAAACGGAATTTCTTCCAACAGATGTGGAATCTCCGCCAATGGTGATACATTTATATGGGTGCCTGCCGACGATATCTTATTGGCAAACACTTGCGACCTCCAGAAACTTCACTATATCATAGTAAGTCTTAAAGAGGCAAAATGGAATTTTTGCCAACAGAACTGGGACCTCCGCCAATGGTGTTTTATTAGTAAACACTTGCGACCTCTAGAAAACCCACAATATCAAAGAAGGTCCTGAACAGTCAAATCAGACATTCTTCCAATAGATATGGAATTACATACAACTATAAAAAAATAGTCAGAATAGGTGGTAGAATTGAATACTCATTGAGGACGCATCTTTTAATCTATCTATCTTAGATTTGAACCACAAGAACGATACTCACAAATATACAGTGGACTTTAACAACTAATAAGTATTCAAAAAGTAGAAAGTATAATATCAAGCGCAGAGAAATAAATTCTGTAACATGTTACCAAAAAATTAAGGATCTGTCATAATTTAAGTCGATGAGAATCCGTTCACTCGAGGTGGACTACGACTATTTCTGGCTGATTAATGAATTCGTGAGTAATATAACCTTCATAGAACTTTAGCACAAACAATACAGCGGCCAAGAGCGGAAATTCAGTTTAAGTAGTACAGTGTCACAAAAACTCCATTGCTGAGTAATATTATACGTCTTTGTGAAAGATCAACTAAACACAATCTATCTAAATTCCAAGTTACTCAACATAACAGTCCGACGGAAGTGAGTAACAAGCTAGCGAAAATTCTTAATATGAGTATTAGCAAGAAGTCAAAATATCTTTCACTACAGGTTGTAATATAAAAACTCGGTTCAATTAATGTTTTAAAACTACAATATAACTACAATCACAGCAGTTTGTTATGTAACAACTCGGATAGATTATTGCTTTAAAACTACAATCAAAAGCGATAACCAAACAAATGGATTTTAGCGACCCGGAAAAATGTGTAATGTAAATACATTGCCTAATGACCATACTACAAACAGACTTAACACAAGCCAACGGAAATAATTGCCGAGAACGTAATTAAGACATAATATGTTTCGAATAAAAAACATAGCTTGACATTTAAAGTACTTACGGATTGTATTACTATAGCACCTGTGGCAAGTGCCATACAAATTAAACGCAGAAATGTTAACTAATGTCCATAGTATCAAGTTATGAGGTATTGGAAAAGACACATTAATAAAGAAAGCTGAAAACTACAGGAACCAACAGATTACAGACAAAGTCGATGTAGAGCCAATGATCTGCATAGCTTCCATATAAAAAGGTTACGAACATGCTGTCTGTGAAAAGCAACGTCGCAGAACTAGTAATTGGAGATGCTAGATTAGCAAAGCGAGAGTATAATAGCTAGTTATCTAGTGACCTTTTGTAGAACTTTTTAATATAAAACTTTTCGAAAGGTATGCTAAAGAGACGCCAATTCGCTTACTTTGATATATTAGCTTTAATTTTAATTACCGTTGGTTGAACTATATATGTATGTACATACATATGTATTTACCATGTATATAAACGCACATTTTCCTTTCACTTTTCCTGCCGCCTGTAGTCGACTTTTTTTTCTAACTTTTCGTTACTATATTCTGAAGATGAAATTATCCCCCGTGGAAGTTTGTATTTGTCGCTGTTTTAATGCGCATATTCTGCTAAGCATTTTGGGGATATTTGTTTTTTTTTTTGTAATGCACAAACAACAGCGTTTGCTTAATTACTTTTTTGGCGTGTCTCTTCGCTTGTCTGGAGACTGACGCACACAAATACGCAGGGAAATATATACAGCCAACGCATTTAATTTCAATTATTACGTTCTGCGGACTTACCATTGATTTCTTAATATATATGTTTACTAGGGTGGAGCGAAAAAAACAATTAATTTGTTTGCTTAGCCTGAGAGTAAAATTTGTAGATTAAAAAAAATAAAATTTTTGTAAATTTTTCCAAAAAAAATTTTAATACGAAATTTACTTTAAAAGTGAGTGGGATGGGGCCGCCTCTAGATGTAAAAAAAACAAACATTTTCCAAACATTTTTTTTTCCAAAATTTTTTTTTTTTATAATCTACAATTTTTACCCTCGGCCAAGCAAAAAAAAAATATTTTTTTTGTCCACCCTAATGTTGATACTACATAACAAGAAGCGTCATTTTAGACAAACATATATGTATATGAATATACTTATACCTATATGGGTGAATACACATGTAAGAGACTCAGTTTGCGACACTTTTCTTTACTCAAATGAGCGTGATGCTCCAGTCAGCCATAAGCAGCTCATATAAAAATTTCCGAAATAGCATTAAAAAAAAAATAAATAACTGTAATTTTATATCAATACAGTTAACATAACATACATATGTAACCATAAATCAAAATACCAATCACTTTCAATCGGCTCAATGTCACGCTTGTCCGCCTCTAAATAGATACTACAAGGATATCAACAAGCAAAAAACCGAATGCCAGTTTGTGGCACGCTTGACCCTCGAGCAATTACACGCCTATTCGATGTACATTTCCCGTAAATACACACTTATATAAATATGTATGTATGTGTATAATCTTAATGCAAGGGTCAATTTGATTGCCCTAAATGTATTTTCGCACGGAAGTGACCACTTATACTTGCAGAGCGTACGAGTATGTTGGGGTTGTCATGAAAACCGGAAATAATTAAATTGACCTCAGGGGAAAAGCACAAACGCGACGAAAGGACAACGCAGACAACATTGGTGAGCGCATTCAATTGAAGGGTCGCGCATAAAATAGCCATGCGAATTGAATTGACTCATTCGATGACCAAATGACCACTAAGTGACTTTAAGGTATGTATCTTTATTCAGGTATGACAGCGTGGAGACCGCTCACAATGCATGGGGTGCAACAAGTTAAGCCATTAATGCAATAATAACAATAAGTTGCACTAAACCGCTGACCAGCCGTGTCAGCCGAACCAGCCAATCGAGTTTGAGTGGTCAGAACTTGACTTCGGAGTATGAGCACATGAATGATGTTAGCCTACGTCGTTTGCCACCCCTAATGCTTAGCGTGCGCTTGTGTGTGTTGCTGCAGCGATGCCCCTGGACAATGGTCAGTCGCGCTTGTTTACCTATTTTTAAGTACTTATGTAAGCCAGATAATTTGTTTGTGATTTGAAAACAAATTTAAAATTTAAATTAGCTGTGGCAGTTTAGAAAAATGTTGTTGATTGTCCATTCATAGCTGTTTACAAGATTATAATGGTTTTATTTGTGTGTAATGAAACCGTAAATAGAACAAATGAAACCTATAAGGGGAAATGAGATGGTGTTACGCGCATACAGT